ATTCTCTGGATGTAAGTCTGGGAATGGACCCTCAGAAGCTACTATGTCATCCTACTATCGTCCAGCATTCTTCACTACAGTTTCTTCACTTGAGAAAGACAGAAGGACCTGTGTGCTTTTGCCACGCTGAGGATGTATCTGATATTAATAAAATAGTATTTCTTATTTATGCATCTGCTTCCACTGAACATACCACAGAAGTGGAGTGAATTCTGGCACAATGAGGAGTCCCTGTGTCCTTCACTGGACAGGGCCAAGGAAGGTGCACCTCAGAGGCAACTATTCATCAGTTATCCGAGACGTGGATGGATTTCTCTGCCCTTTGGTCCTCTTAGTTTTACTCTCCATCCAACATATGCACGTTAGATGCCAGAACATACCTGAAAATTGCCTGTGAGTCACTATACAGCTTTCTATAGTGACACAAACACTATATGGCTATTAAGCATGGTTTCATTTCAAATTTGGGCAAAAAAATATCCCTGAGGTAATTTGGGAGACAGAGAAAATAAGAAACTATAGACGTTAATTTTTGTTTTATAGAACAGCTTCCCTCTGCTGGGTTTACACCAGCAGATGGGAAGATTGTGACTGCTATCAGCTGTTGTAAAGAGTTTGCCTACCCAGATGGGTGTTGATATGAAAGACAGGTGCATCTGGTATGCTTCCCCATAGCCAGCCCTGCAGTTCCCACACCTGCCTTCATGCAGGCACGGAGCATGGGGCAGAAGTCAATTAATAATGTGTGAGACTGATTCCAGGCCGACTCCGCTCTTGAGGTTATGCCAGGCCTGAGGGTCCCACACCACTGGAGAGCCCCGCCTCCCCACCCCGGTTCCACTTAAGGATCAAACACTGTAGTTTGGTGGAAGGCAGGCAACAAGAGGGGGATCAACAGTAGGCTCCAATCAATCACCCACTGTGCATCTCAAAAGTCAGAGCAAGATACTCAAAGTTGCAACGACTTTTCTGCATTTCTAAAATCTTTTAAATCCTAGCAACAAATATCATCTAATACTTGGCAACCCTGAGCGCATCTGAAAATTTTACATGGTGCCAAAGAGAAAATAAATTTAATTAAGTCACTTTTTAGATAAGACCAGAGTACGATTGAGAGAGAGGATCCTAGGGCCTGAGGTCACTAGGGTATTGCAGCTATTCCATCATGAACACCCTAAACATCTCCACGCCTCATGCATCCCCGTGTCCCCTTACCTCGCGTATACCAAGCTCTCCATACAGAAACCAGTGGGGTCTTTTCAGAGCGAAGTCCCTGCTGTTCTCGTTTAATTGCAGTCTCCCCCTCCATGGGTAGCCAGGGGCCTGTACTTGACTTCTGTCCTCAAACCCACCTGACAATGCACTTCAGTAACTTCCTGTTTCCTTCTGGAAAGAGGCTGGGTAGAGATAACCATACACATATATCTTGCCTATTGCTTTTGGTCTTTAGGAATATGGCCCCACAAAAGTTTTAGAATATTGAACAGGTTTACTCAGATTAAGCAGTTAATAGCTGCTTAGGTCACTAATTCTTGGGACAACTGAGTTTTAGCATTCTTTAAAACTAAAGGGTGATATTTTAGGCATTATTTCTGAATAAAGGATTCTGACTAACACTTAAAGTAGTTTTGTCAGGATGATCTTAAATGAAATGGAATAATGGAATTCAAGAATATCAGTGCCCGAAGGGAGATAATCCAATACAAAGACATTATATATATTTTATATATGTGCGTGTGCATGTGTGTGTGAATTTAATAGTTATTTAAGACTCCTTGTTGGAAAAGGAAATGGCAACCCACTCCAGTATTCCTGCCTGGGAAATCCCATGGACAAAGGAGCCTGGTGAGCCTACAGTCCATGGGGTTGCAAAGAGTCGGACATGACTGAGCAACTAAACAATAAACAGCAACAAAGCCTCCTTATATCAGTCCTTCATGAGACTTCATAAACATGTTTCATGTCTGCATAATAGTTTAACAATAAGCTTCTAACTTCTTGCTGTTGGCAGTGAATGCATTTATGTCTAAATCTGTGGGATTTTCTTGAACACTATTTCCTTAGCATATGGATATTATTTGTTTTTGAGGAGAGAAAAGAGACCCAGAGAAAAGAATCACTTGACGAACTGCAACAAGACATTCCTGGCCCTCAGTCATTCTTTATGTCCTTCTCTTTGATTAACTGTGCGTGTGGCCACCTAAATCCAGAGTACAAAGTCCAGCCTCTCTTGCAGCTATGGTCATCTGCAGCTTTGTTTTATTTAGCCAGTGGGATATAAAGAATAGGCTATATTTGTCTGGAAGAGTCCTTCTCCCCTTTCCCCTGTTGGCTCAAATGCTCACTTGATGGGTGGAGATGAATAACCATCTTGGACCAGGAGATGGAAGCCCTGTGCTCTTTGGTATGCTCCAGGATGGGAGAGCAACAAAGAAGAAGGGGGACCTGAGTTTCTGAAACATGGGGTTCTAGACTGACTGCCCTCTAGACTTCTTTATGTGCAAGAGGAACAGATGTGTATCTTTGTTTCAACAATTTTGTTTTGAATTTTTGTGTTACCCTTGACCACATCTAATCTAAACTGCTGTATCAGTAGTCTGGAAAACTTTTATTATCATGACTTTATGGAGGAAGGCAGGATGGGTGATGGACAAAGCCTGATTGACTCTTGCTTTAAATATATTATGTCAGGGGATCTCAAATACTGATTCGTGAAAAGCTGCATCAGAATTACCCTGGCAGGCCAAAAATATAGATGTATAGATACAGGTATATAGGATTGGAACTAAGAGCCCATGTGCTTGCACAACCAAAATAAGAATTACACTGGCAGAGGTTGGGGAGGTCCCTTTCCTGGAAACTTTGATTCAGTAAGTATTCTATAGGGTCCAAGAACTTATATTGTGAAAAAAGCTCCTAATATAATCCTGATATCCCAATACATTTGGAAAGTGTTTGATCTAGAATTATTCTTGGCTGACGAACTGGAGCAGAAGCATCAGAAAAAAATTTTTTTTCTCTCTCAAACACAGATGCCTCCATGGGTATGTAAGAATAAGAGACAGAGATAAAGCAAGAGCAAGAGAGAGAGAAAGAGACAGAGACAGAGAAGAGAAAATATTCTGATAGTCTTAATTTTGAAATAGGTGATTCCTCAGGCGCTTTGGCTCCCCTTTTCTCTATATACTCACCTGGAGCCACACAAATATCACCTAATAGTCCATTCCCTCTCAGATTAGCCTTAGCTTAGGTAAACTGACAGTAGCTAGAATTGTTTTTTGTTTGTTTTGTTTACAGATTACATTTTCTGGGGAGGTGCAGTCACCTCCAATGTGCATTACTGCATATTGTTGTTTAGTCTCCAAGTTGGGTCCGACTCTTTTGTGACCCCATGGACTGTAGCCCACCAAGCTCCTCTGTCCATGAGATTTCCCAGGCTAGGATACTGGAGTGGGTTGCCATTTCCTACTCCAGGAGATCTTCCCCATCCGAGGACCGAACCCTCCTCTCCCACGCTGGCAGGTAGATTCTTTACCACTGAGCCACCAGGGAAGCTCTCACTACACATTAATGAATCATAAATGTGTTTGTGACAAAAAGAATGTTAACTTAAAGATTCCAAGGCCTTGCCCATCAGAGGTTGAATTTTTTGGTCCATGCAAAAATCTGCAAGGTCAGCAGACCCAGTCAAACAGCTGTTGGTCACAGTTGGCCTAAAAGCACTCGGGCATACCACATGTTCTCCTGGCAGCAAAGGTGACGGGGCACAGAAAGTGTTAGCAGAAGGCAGATCGTGGCAAGCACGAGACATTCCAAACAGCAGTGAAGAGAAAGGGATTATGCTAAGCAGCATGTCAGTACTGAGTAATCCTTTCACGAGAGCCACTGTCACACTCACAAGTACAGGCTGCTTGGGGCCCAGTTCTCCCACCTTCTGGGGAATTAAAGGAGAAAGACTCTCCACAGGAAGAAGCCTGGCACTCACCAGCTCTCCACAAATCTCACCAGAAATCAAACAAAACAGAACCAAAGAACCATTTTAAGACAAAATTTGAAAACAGTGCCAAGGATACCAAAGATCTAATTTCCACTGGGTCACCAACTAACCCAAGCTGAGTCTGGATGAGTCACTTAACCTTTCCAGTTTCTAACTTTTTCCTCTGAGGACTTAAGAGGCTAAACTTGGTGAACTATGAAACCCTTTTTAAGAGTTAAACAATTTTATACTTATCGAATAGGAAATATATAGTATAGGTAAGTGCATGAAGTAAAAGCCTTCCTCTATCAAGTACACATTTGCTTTTATTTTTAAAAAGATAAAAATCCTCAATTCCAACATAAAATCATCAGACAGACATGCATGTGCGTATACACATGCATGCACACACCCCTCAGAATTTTAATTTCTGGAAATTCTTTCTTAGTTGCCTAATCCCCACAAGCTCTGATGGCATCCTGTTGTCGCTGCTGAAATATTTTATTATGCAAATATTTAGACTAGGACTTTCAAACACCCATGAACACTTATTGCACTCTCCCAAGGAATATCATGGAGAGGGCTCAAAACATGCTGAGTCCAGGCACTTATTGACAGAACAGATGGGTCCTCATTCATAGGCAGTTTCTGAGCTCTAACTCCATGTTTACTGACAGTCTGTTGGGTTAAGCAGAATGGCAAACGGAAGTGAGATGAAAGTCTTGCTGGTTACTGTTATTACAAAGTGGTCTCCATCTATCATAGGGCTCTCTCCATTGTAACCCTTTCCTTTCCTCGGGTGACTCGTCAGCGATGAAATCCTCACTTCCTGAACAATCCATATAACCCTGCTACAACATGCCCTTGATCCAGAGGCCATTGTCCATGCCAAAAAAAAAAAAAAAAGAGAGAGAGAGAAATGTAAACTTTCAGAAGTCTCAGGATATACCTGTGTATCATAGAGCTCCAATGGATTAAGTGCCAATGGAAATTAGGGAAATGAAGAGAAAAAAGCCATACTTACTTCATCCACATGCCCGACAGCCCCATAGATTCTTGCCATTTGTCCAATGAGGTAGGGGGATCTCTCAGCAATCTCTTTCAGCATTGGAAGAAAACTGTTCAAAGCCACTGGCTCGTAGCCTGCAATCTCTATGAGGATGCTTAGGATGATGTCGTTATGGGTCGAATCCTTCAATTGCCCAATTAGGAAAGGAATACACTTCTGAACCACCTATAGGAAGAAAAGAGAAGAAGAAGCGAGAAAAAGAAACATAGAGGAAAGTTAATTAAGTCAGAATTAATCTAATAATTTTTGTATTCAATCTGAACTCAACACATTCTGAGATTATTACTCTTGCTGGAATGCAAGCAAATCTCCCAAGTCTGAAATTTAAAATTTCCAGTGAAATTTCAGAGCCTTAGGTTTCCTTTGCTTTTTCTTTAAATCTGTGCTCTGCAACTGAAGGGTTAAGGCTACAAAATGCTTAAACGCTGCTACTTGCTCATAAGTCAAGGTCTCCTGTGTTATGTCCTTGTCAGTAGTGTTACATTTCCTCCAAACCACCCTGAGAGCTTCAGCTTTTTTTGGAGGGGGTGCCCTTGTATGATAGCGTTTTCCTAAAGACTCAAGGAAAACATTATCAAGTAGCATTCTCAGAAATTGGTTGTGCTGTCCATTATCAGCTGTGCTGCAAATATTCAGAAGAATGAATTTGATCAGTAATTACATTGAATCGAAAAGCATAGATGGCATTCAAAAAAGAATAGGGCAACTATTTATTGAATACCTACTATGTACCCAGAATGTCTAGAGATTCCTAGAAGTTAGGATAAAGGCCAGAATTTTAAAACATGATCTCCATGATCAGTCCCTGCTTGCCTATGCCTTAGACATGATTTTAGACATGCCCACCTTGTTCTCTCAACTTTAGTAACAATGCCAGTTTTCTCTCTCTCAAATTCCTCTCACCATAATACCTTTGCACATATCATTCCCTCTCTGTAATAAGGTCTTCTCTACTACCTCATTTCACCAGTTAACTCCTAATTATCCATAAAATATCAGAGGGTTTCAATTTAAAAGACAATATAAGTATGTAAGAGATCCTTGACAATTACTTTAATTAGAGCCTTCAAATTAGAGAAATATCGTGTGGAAATATTTAAAATAAAAATAAAGCAGGGAAGAGCTCTTCCTTTTTCTTCAGTTTCCATTTGGACCATAAAAACATTATAAGATAAAAAACTACTAAAGTAAAATAATATCTACTATATTCTCAATATCCTAAACTTTCTTAGTTTTTAAAGTCTTTATCAATATAAGGATGCAATAATTTTCATTAAGGAGAATGTGACTTTTTTGTGGAATGATGTCTCTATGTTAACACACAGACACATTGCATACTGACAATTTAATGAATTGTTTGTCTGCTAACATAAAAGGATTACAAAGAACAACCTGGGGAAAACTGAACAATAAAAGTATACACTATTAGTCCATTCATACTTATCCTATGGTTATTTCTTTTGTTTGTTGTTGGTTTGCTGTTTTGGTAAGGGAGACTTGAAATGTGACTTCCAGTATTAGGATTAAAAAATCTGATGCACAGCTCAGCCTGCTGAACTCATAATCTAACCCCTACCAAAAACCTGCTTTTCCCACCTCTCTAGCCCCAAGTGTCTCCCTTCCCATAAATGACACCGCCATCTATCTGCTCAAGCCAGAAGTCTGAGAATCATTCTTTTTTTTTACAAGGGGGGGGGGCGTGTTGGGGAGGGAGGAATCATTCTTGACCACTGTTTTCCCCTTATCAGCAGCTTTATCTGAGCAATACCAAATCCTATTGATTCCCACCCCCCAAGTATCCCACAGATGAGTCCACTTCTCTTCATGTCCATTCATCCATCCATTCACAAATTATTTATGGAGTCCTTTCCATTTGCAAGGTGCTATTCTAGGTGCTGCAGTTAATGTTGCTAACATTAGGTTAGCAACATTAGGTTCCTGCCTTCATGGAATAATTCACTGTCTAGTAAAGGAGATATTTAGTAAAACTAATAGTTACAAAAGAAATAAGTAATAATTTTAATAAATGTCACAAAGGGAAAATATAAGGTTCTATGAGAGAGAGTCTTAGGGCCCTGATTCAGTCTAGGGGTCAGGGAAGTCCTCTCAGCAGGGACATTTAAGCTGAGACACTGATGTAGTCACTTTATCTATTCCAATAGCCTCCTAACTGTTCTCCCTGTTCTCTCCACCATAGTGACCCACCCCTGCTTAAAATACCTTAGGAATTTCTCATTGCTCTCAAGTCAGAGGGTCACTACCTTTTCTGAACTGATTCCCATCCATCTTCTAGATTTAGCTCTTTACCCAGATACCCAACTGTCTCCCCATCCAGATCCCATCATGTAACATACTTCTACCATACTGGACTTTTTTTTTTTTAATTCTCGTGACCTGCTAAGTTTTCTATTGTGTCTGGAATTTTACTCACATGATCCAATCTGCCTGTAATTCTTATCATCCCAGTTTTGCTAGGTAACTCCTTATCATTTTTGAGGTCTCAGATTGGCTATTATTTCCTTTAAAGAATCTTCCTTGACTCCTTTCTCTTCCCTTCTCACTCTCATATCTCTGCTAAAGATCCTACCCTCATGCTTCCTTCTCATGGCTGGTCTAGTGTCTGTCTTGCAGACTGGATTGAAAGCTTTACAAGGTCAAGAATCTTTTCTATTCTGTACATACAAATGTATACCCAATGCCTAGCACAGAGCCTGGACAGAAAGTGAGTCAATAAATATCTGAGAAACAAATAAAAAGAAAGCAGATCTAAAAGATATTATAGGGTAGTTTTCGGATAATTCCAACTCCCACCCCACACCACAGTACTTGAATAGCTGTATATAAGGTTTAAACATACATACTGCCACGTGTCATATACAACATAACTAATAAGGACATAAAAGAAGACAGTTTTGAGACCACTAAGATTATCCCATGTGCATACACACATGCTCAGTCTTGTCTGACTGTTTTCGACCCTATGGACTGTAGCCTGCCAGGCTCCCCTGTCCAAGGGATTACCCCAGAAAGAATACTGGAGCAGGCTGTCATTTCCTCCTCCTGGGCATCTTCCAAACCCAGGGATTGAACACTCATCTCCTGTGGCTCCTGCATTGGCAGGCAGATTCTTTACCACTGAGCCACCTGGGAAGCCCATATATATTCTCCTATATACAAATATATACACAAATTTATAAATATAAATTACGCTATATGTAAATTTAAACTTGATATTCGTATCCAGTAATCATGGAAGAAAGATTAGAGCTACTTTCTGGTAAATGGTACATATGAATGAACAGTTCAATAAAGGATGCTGGTGCATTGGGGGTGATTGTATGTCCTTCAGGTGAATCTATGCGAGGTCCTTGGCGCCCATAGCAGAAGTGTCAGCCAGCTGCTCCGGGTCAGGACAGCGTCCTTAACCTGAGGCTTTTAGATATGCAAAATGCTTACACATTTCCTGCCCCATTCTACAAAATTCCATTTCCCAGTCCTTATTCTTTATGTCCTATTCCTGGGACACCAGGGTCTCTATGATACGTGTTTTCAGTCGTGACAATTTTATTTAAACTCCAGTCATACATCCCAAGACTATAAAGAAAAGGGTAAAGGAAGAAAGGAAAAACAAGAAAGACAGGCAGCAGGCTCAGGCAAATACAGACTCCTAGGCAAAGCTGAATCCATAGAAGGAGCAAAATGACGAGAAGTACTAAATAATGTGATTAGCAATAAAATGTGAATAATGTGAATGAATAAAGACAGATATTTCTTGAAGCTTATCACTCATAATTAAGGGAAGTGGTGCTTTGGCCTTCAGATATTTTTGGATAAGGAGAAATTATATTTTCCTGACAGTGTATTTCCTTAGGTTGGTCTCTTTATGCTGCCTCGCTGGAGCTGTTTCACATCTCAGAGAAAGCCTTCCTTTGCTGAGGGCAGAGACACCCCTAAGATAACATAGATAGCTTGCAGAGAAGAAGCTGACATGGCCTTTGTTCAGGCCATAAGTCCCACACCATGGACTCTGAAAGAGCTTCCAAACTGGCCTCATCGTCTCCAGCCTTTTCCCCTCTCTTCAGCCTCCTCACTGCCTAAAACCCCATCTGCTCATGGCCAAAGATTTCCCACAATGCACGGTCAGAATCCCAGTGCCATGGCAATCCAGGGTCATTCACTGGCATTCACTGATGGGTATATCTGCTGCTGCTTCCTCCACGAACCTCCCAACCCAGCAACATGCCACTGACCACCCACAGTGGCCTGAACACACATGAAAGTATGAGAAAACGCATACTTTCAAAGCTGATCTCAAACAGTTCTTCTGGGAAGCCTTCCCTCCAGCCCACCCTAACATACACACAACCTGGAGCCAGAGAACAAGGGCGGCCACTGAACCACCCACTGAAATATTCTGCAGCCTTATACAGTGTTCTGTCTTCTGACCTGACACATACACCTTTATAACCATCTGGGAGGCTTGCTTTGAATTTAGAACTTTTGGTCCCTGTCAAGGAAACAGGAAGAAATGACCCCTAGCCTCCATCCCTTGCCCCTTCCTTCTCTTCCTATTGCTGGCTTTGCCCTCAAGGAGTTTCCTATGCATATTTGTGGATACTCCAGCCCACATATCTAAGTTTATATAGGCTGCCCCTCAAATCTATGGGGGTGACACTGTTGGCATGGCCTGTCCTTGGGGAAATAGACCCAGAGACCAGGACTTCCACAGCCCTGGAAGCAGGACGGAGGTTTATTGGAAAGGGATTCCAAGGTCCCAATTATCTGGACTATGTTTAGTAGGCGAGGCAGTGGATGGGAGCTGGGGGCACAGGTAGATCAGAACTGTACAAATCAAGAGGCCCAGGTGAGGGCCCGTCCCTGGCTTTTCTGTTCCTTCTTGAGCAGGATCAATCACTGCCTTTAATGTCTCCCAGGAAAGTCTGCTGACGAGTTTGGGATTTTGTCATTGAACTGAAATTCTGTGGACACATCTCATTACTCCAGGCTATGGGTACCTTGAACAGAGGGCCATCAAAAACATAGCATCATAACTTAACTGGCAGCAAGGACATTTAAATTCTTGTTAAAGAATAAAAAGTTGAGCTACTGTGCGTGTATACATGTGTGTTCCCACACTCCCTCTCAAATGACTCCTTAGATTCAAT